ACGCCTATTGAGTGGTGTAAATACACCAGTCGTTTAGTTCGGAAACCTATGCTATGTCGTATTCGCTTGCTGGAATGACATAGTGCGTGGTTATATGTTTCTTTTTAAAAACGGGTGTAGGATTTTTGTTGAACTTTTGAACTGTTATTTCTAAGTTTTGGTAATTTGTATATCTTATTTAAAATGGGATACAAATGTGTTATAAGGAAAAAAAAGATATCTATAGTATAAAAAATTAATTTATTTAACAAAATTTAATTAAAAATGTGACAAAATAGTACCTTTCTATTGGTTCTATCGGACTTTTTTCGACTATATAAATCTATATTTGTAAACTTTAATACATCAAATATTTTCAATCTAATAAATCATTTAATGATGTGAATAAGAGGAAATTTCTCACATGGGTGGTCAAATTCTATAGTTTTCATTATATCAAACAGCCTCTGCGAAATGTTTTCAACTCAAAATTATGTTTGACTACATCAATTAAAAGGGTCTTCAAATACATCAATGTGATATTTGTCTAAAATTTGCAAAAGAATCCAAATCTCTGGATAACTCGAAATTATTTACCCATTTAAAAGCCTTTGATCATGAAAGTGGAAAAATTTGTTCATTTTATTTACTGGAAATGGAAAAAATATTTATATTAAATTTTGATGAGTTTTGAAAACATTCAGAGGCTGTTTGATATAATGAAAACTATAGAATTTGACCACCCATGTGAGAAATTTCCTCTTATTTACATCATTAAATTATTTATTAAATTGAAAATATTTTATGCATTAAAGTTTACAAAAAATAAAGGTTTATATAGTCGAAAAAAGTCCGATAGAACCAATAGAAAAGTAACTATTTTGTCACATCTTTAATTAAATTTTGTTAAATAAATTAATTTTTTATATTATAAATATCTTTTTTTTCCTAATCTCCTACGAACTGATATAATATGACGAGCAATCTATTAAATTACTGTGAGATTATATGCCTCGATAACATATTGGTGCAGATTATTTTCACCCAAACAAATAATAACCCAAACTATACATTGATGCGGATTGTCTATGAACTCTTTCTGAAGGTCACAGAAACCTGAACGCGTAATTCGGCGTTCTCTTTCGCATCTGTTGTAGTTAATTTGTGACATTAGTGTACAACCTTCCACCAAAGGAACTTTATAGAAGACTGGCACGTTTGCCGTGCAAACAGCCTACGATCGCTGGACGATTTTCGTTTTTCACGAATGGCTTTTTGGTACTTTCGTAGCTCACGAAATCTCCCCCCCTGGATCACTGAAACAATAAAAATAAAAGCTATCTTCTTATATCCATCTGTAAAATAAATAATCATTATTATGAAATTGTTAGGTGTTACCTGTAAAATAATAAAAAATGTGGTAATTATTGGGAAAACTGGAAATCGTCCGATTTTCACCAAAATTGGTATACACACTATTTTGAGGTCGTAGATTACGAATCTATTTTTTTTTGGCGGTCTCTTACCGTTATTCAGAAAAACGGAAAATTATTTCTATGAAGTAATAATTTCACTATATCTTCATTATATTATAGTTTATCTAAAAAGCCACACTTGATTGGGGATAGAAAAGTGTCCAACATTTTACTGAAAACACTTTTTCTTAACAAAATGCAAAGAAAATTGAGACCAGATGGAAGTTTGACATTTGATATATCCTTCTTTCTCTCTCCTATGTAATAAGAGAGACAAATTTATTCTAGACCTAATCTAGAAATTTGAAAATTTACAACGTTGCCATATCTTCTATTTTTTCGGGTGATTACGGAATTTAAATAAATTACCTATTATGAGATCAACAATAATTAAATATACACCAATATCCACAAAATTACGCGGAAAAGTTTTGATTGCATTGGTTTTAACTTCTTTGCGGAGGAGGTTAATCTTTTCTTAGTTAATCTAATAATATAACAACAAAAGATTAACACCCTCTGCATGGAAGTTGTAACCAATGCAATCAAAACTTTTTCGTGCAACTTCGTGGGTATAAATAGTCAGATCTCGTTGGTAAAATAGCAGTTATGGGAAGGAGCCGTTCTTCTGGCGACCGCCTTTCGTAATTCCAGAATGAGCGAAAAAAACACGCTAAATTTAGGTTTAACATTGGCAACGTTGCTTTAAATGCCAGAAAGACATAAACTTACTTCGGGTTTCTCTTATTACCGATTCTGAACCGTCCTAGAACTGTGATGTGTATGCGCAGAAGGAAATATGAAGACATTACTTCATTTGCGCATGCGCTGCAGAGTTCTTGGACGGTTCAGAATCGGTAATAACAAGAACCCGAACAAAGCCATAATCTAACATTTTCAGATTGTTTACAAATTTATTTTAACAAATTTTCCTCTATTATGCATAGAATTGGTTAAAAAAGTAACAGAAAATAGCAAAAACATTATTGATTATTGAATACCTAACAAAATATGTGCTAGAAAACCTTAAAAATATGAGAAATTAATAAAAATTCGATATTGAAATTATTTTCCGTTTTTCTGAAAAACGGTAAGAGACCGCCAAGAAAAAAGATTCGTAACGTTCAGATTCGTAATATACGACTTCAAAATAGGATGTATACCAATTTTGGTGAAAATCGGACGATTTCCAGTTTTCCCAATAATTACCAAAAATGTCAATTTTTTATTCATTTTTACCTTGCCCCCCCTAAATTTCATTCTTCCGGCGCCCATGTGAGATACGATCGTGCTCCACTACCCGTGTCAACCTAGCTTTTACTAGTCTACACTTAACAAGTGTACAAATAATTATGATCCCTTTCATTCGGACCATTTTAACCAACAGAAAATGGGAGCGCAACGAGTGACAAATAATTGCACAAATAAAGAACGCACACAAGTATATGTCAATAACAAATGTTAGTCAAGTAGACAAGTCCTCTGACCCCGGCTTTATAGCAAGGCGTACTTTCTCTAAAATGACCATCTTCTAACAGTCAAGGTCCTTATCGAGAAATGCATTGAGTATAATAGACCACTAATGCTTGTCTTCGTGGATTTCGAGAAGGCCTTCGATTCGACTAAGAGAGTCGCATCGATCATCGATACTCCTCAATCATAAGACATATATATGATAATGCCACGGCAAACGTCAGAATATCGACAAATCAATGCACAGATAAATTCAATATCGATCGAGGGGTAAGACAAGGCGACACACTGTCCCCTAAACTATTCGTTGCTGTGCTAGAAAGTATGCTAAAAATGATAAACTGGGATTCAACAGGAATTAACATCGATGGCAAATTGATAAATCATCTCTGTTTTGCAGATGAAATTATATTCATAACAGACAACATACAGGAGGCACAGAATATGCTGGATATGCTGAATGATGCTTCGGAAAAAGTCGGTTTGAAAATTAACTTGTCAAAGACACAATACATGACAAACCTAGTACTAAGTGGAAATTTAAACATTAATAACATACCTTTGGAACAAGTGCATATATATAAATACTTAGGGCATGAGATCGGTATTAGAAGGGATAATCAGACGAAATTCTACGAAGAATAGGTTTGTCGTGGGCGGCATTTGGCAAACTAAGGCATATACTGAGATCTGATATTCCCATATGTTTAAGAAGAAAGATCTTTAACCAGTGTGTCTTGCCTGTCTTCACGTATGGAGCTGAAACGCTTACTTTGACAAAAAAGAACATACATAGAATACAGGTCATGCAACGGAAAATGGAAAGGTCTATGTTGGGAGTTACACTCAGAGATAAAATACCCAATCATACAATACGAAATCGAACAGGAGTAAGAGATGCGGTGATATCTTAATTGCGGTCTTACATCTTAAATGGAATTGGGCAGGACATGTGGCTAGGATGACAGATGGACGGTGGACAAAGAGACTTGTGGAATGGAGACCGAGACACGAGGCCTATAGAAGCAGAGGACGACCTCCTAGTCGATGGGCAGATGACATTAAGAGGGTGGCTGGAAACTGGATTCAAGTGGCACAAAATAGAAGGAAATGGCTAGAGTTAAGGGAGGCTTTTGTTCAGCAGTGGACGGTATAAGCTAAATGATGATGATGATGATGATGTACTTTCTTACTTTCACGTAGGGATGCAAAAAGAAACATCAATGTATTGATGTTTATTTTTATTATAAATATATAGTAAAACCACTAGGAATCAGTGAATGTTAATTAACAATTATTACTAGTGAAAATCACCATTCATTGATTTTCAAACACTACGTTAGTAAAAGTTCAACAACTAATTTTGAAACAAGCTTTTACTTGTCAACTATTAAAATCAAATTTGCTTTGCTTTTTGACTATCTACTAGCAGCTGCTCCTAACTTTTATTATCCGAAAATTACGATCAAAGCCGATCGATACAGCAGCTGACTAAATATTTGACGTGAGACATTTAATTTTCAATTCAAATCATTCAAAGGAATCAAATTCGTATTAAAATTAAAAACAAACTGGAGAATCGTGAAAAAAGGCTGGAACCAAAGCAATCAAAACTTATTCGTGCAACTTCTTTGTCTCTCCCAAAACATCGATGTTAACATCATTAGAAAAATATCGATACATCGCTAGTCAAACATCGATGTTTTGCTATTTGAAGCATCCCTACGTTCAGGTAGTGTAAACGCTGTTATTGTAAATCTTCTTTCGATAAGTTATAGAATAATATGAAAAATGAGAATCCATAAAGTGTGTTTTTCAATATTTATTTAAAAATATTTATTTTTAAGATATAAAATTTCAACATTTTCTATCTTTTTTTCTCTTATTTCTCTCTTTCTATATAAAAAATTCTTAAAACTAAATTTTAAAAGTGTAAAAAATAAATTGTATATATCTATCTATAAATGCCGTGGGTCTATAAAATTAACTATATCTTTTACAACGAAATTCTAGAATCAATTTCGTTCTTTGAACTGTACGTTTTAACAAACAATTTTTTTCATTTTGCTTCTATTTTCTTTTTATTTTTTATTTCGTTTTGTGACCATGGGAGTATTTGTACTGTTTTCCTCCTTTTTTGCCGCCTTTTTTCGCATGCTTGTCCTTGTGGGCATAATGGCTTTTGTTACCGCCTTGCGTTTTGTAGGCTTTCTTTCCTGATTTGTGATGTCCGCCAACTTTTTTGCCGGTCTTGCCATGTTTTGCTTCGGATTTTAAGTTCTAAAAATACATAAAATATATTAACATATATGAACACCCGGTATTTTATTTCATTTTTGGATTCTTGGGTCCAAAAAAGGCATTTATTATCAGGGTTAAATATGTTTAAAATCTTTAGTTTTTGAGATATTTAAAGATATTTAAATTTGCATGCTACCATAGAATAGACTATTAACACCCTGTACATTACTTTTCTCAGAATTAATTTTTATGCTGAGTTTAAAGGTAGAGAAATAAACTTTACTGAAAAATGGTATTGGTTCCTTAAATTTATACAGGGCTATCAAAAGTTGCTGATCTATTTTAAGGATATATTTTATATAAAAACTTTGTTATTTCAAATGCAACAACCTGTATTTTTTTAAATAAATCGGAGCAAATTCAAAAGCTCTTTCAAACAATATTAGAGTTTCCTATACCTATCTAGCTCAGATTTTGAATAAAAAGCGATTTTTAAATAAAATTGTAATCAAGATGGTTGGTGTCGCCATGGCAATTTTCTAGTGACAGTTAGTAACTATTTTCAAAGTCGACATTAGTTTATGAACATTATTATTTATAATTTATAACAGTTTACTTATATTTACCTACAATAGTGTAATAAGTAAGTATTCATTATTTTATCAAGAAAAAATAAAGCAGTCTCTGCTGGCGAAACGAATAGATATGTTACTAGTGATATTATTTGGTGAGGAAAATTGGTTCTTGGCCTCAAGGGCTTATGCTCAAAGATATCCAAATAGGAATCTTCCTGATAAGAGTTTGTTTGAAAAACTTCTTGTCCTATTTCGCAGAGCTGGTAGTGTGGTTTATAAAAAACCTATTAGGCAGAAACCTGTCGTTGGAAGTGAAGAAAATTAATTTGCCCTAATTGGCTCTTTTATAGAAAATCCATGCATTTACAAGTCATCGTAAAATAATTCAAAGGCTACTTCTTCGTTTTTCTTGATAGAATAATAAACACATATTTTATAAATATTCTTTATTAAACTATTGTAGGTAAATTAAATAAAAATAAACTGGTATAAATTTAAATAAGTCCATAAACTAATTTCGATTTTGAAAATAGCTACTAACTGTCACTAGAAACTTGCCATGGCGACACTAGCCATCTTGATTACAATTTTATTGAAAAATCGCTTTTTACTCAAAATCTGAGCCAGATAGGTATAGGAAACCCTAATATAGTTTGAAAGAGCATCTAAATCTGCTTCAATTTATTTAAAAAAATACATAGTGTTGCATTTGAAATAACGAAGTTTTTATGTAAAAAAATATTTAAAATAGACTAGCAATTTTTGATACCCCTCTATACATTTAAGGAAGGAATAACATTTTTCTGTAAAGTTTATTTCTCTACCTTTAAACTTAGCATAAGAACTAATTCTGAAAAGTAATGTACAGGGTGTTAATAATCTATTCTATTGTAGCATGCAAATTTAAATACCTTTCAATATCTCAAAAACCAAAGATTTTAAACATATTTAACCGTTATAATAAATATATTTTTTTGGACCCAAGAATCCAAAAATGAAATAAAATACCGAGTGTTCCATAAGTAAAAATATAACTTTGGTATGAATCTTAGTTCTGAAACACCCAGTACATTTCAAATTAATTTTAAATTTTGCACATTACCTCCCTACATATATCCATAAAATATTTTGTTTCTACATCATCGAATGAGGTGCGCTACCCTGTATGTGGTAGTTGTGGTTCAGTAGCATAGTATCATTGCTTTATTTATGGATTAAAAATAGTACATATAATTATTTGTGGGGGCTGTAAATTTGATATTATAGGCGAGGCACAAAAAGTAATTTTTAATTGGACTGGAACATGCTATTTTTTTTTTCAAACATCACAAATAATTTTTTAAACAATTTCTCAAACGTTGCAAATAATAATATAAAAACATTTAAAAGTAATACTTTGTAAGTAATTATATATCGAGAAACTATGGTTACGGCTTATTGAATTTGACACTTTATGTCAGTCTAATAATATATTTTCGTACTTTTAGCTTAGGCCTAAAAGTGCTTTACATTATTGCCTAGGCGTTAAAATGAGTTTTTCATATTGTCAATCACGTCGCAAAAACTAATACTTTTGTGACGTTTGAAAAAAAAGTTAAATAGAGTGACTTGGATTCTAAGCTGTAGTATTTTACAAAAAACTAACTCACTAAAATTTTATTTTTAGATTTCTCTTTCAGTGACTAAAAGGGAAAACCGGAATACATTAGGATAATTAATTAGTTAGGATTAATAGTAGGATATATTCGACCACAAAACAAAAAAGTATGAACAAGGACTAATCTACTAGTTTTTTGAGTGTAGTTTTAACTTACATTTATTTAAAAAATGTGATATAACTATTCTAAAAAAGATTCTAAATTTTAACATTTATAAACTTGATATTTAGTCATTGTAATTTTGTCATAATTGTATGGTATATGACGAACATTTTACTTTTACTTTGCTGTTTTATGTTTGTGGGATTGTATTCTCATTATGTGTATTGCATGTATACCTATATTTTAGTATATGCGTCTAGATCTTTGTATTTTGTTAACGTCATCCAATATGGTTTAATCACTTTGGAACATAATTCTGTATACATTTTCGGCTTAGTGTTTCAATTAATGTTTGTTATTTATTTTTTTGATATGCCTTTTTGTTCTATGATGAAGCATTTTGGTTGCTTTAAAGATATATTTTTTTACGTTTTTGTTATACAAGGTGTCCCAATCTTTCTGGACATTTTTTGCAAGAATTTATGTAGTCTGAGATCAGTTTTTACCCCGTTCTAATCATTTTGTTCCTGAATATCAGTTTTTAGAATATCTTAAAGAATGTCTATATTTTTTTTTAATTCGCTGCCCTCTAACGGATAAACGAAGCAGCACTTTAACGGTAAATTTTCGTCAATTAACTTAATAGTGACAAAAATATTTGTACAATTGTACCAAATCGGATTGACTTGACGAGTCAATTTCATTTGGAGAGTGAGATACTTATTTTTCATAGAGTTTTTTTTATTTAGTTTTATTTATTTAATTTAATTTCGTAAGATTTTTTTGAAAAAAATACGTAAGAAAACAGATACGAACGGGTCTAAAATTAGAGAAAAACAAAAAAATATTTTGCCACACGTACAATTAATTATTCTTTATAAATTTGTATTGATAATAGAAATATTTAGATTTTTGTGATATGAATTATTGCGAAATATTTTGAGATGTTTTATAAAATACTTAAGTGCAAGTATTATTTTAATCAATAAACGTTTATAATAAATAGTTCAAGGTTTAAAAGATAACAGAAAAATGCATTCCAGATCATTCTATGATATATATACACAACCAAACTTATATGGAATCACTCTTTATTTCTGACTAAATTTCTTGCAAGGATAAAAATTGGTATACAACTTTAAGATAAGGCTTTTTGTTGTAAATAAACATGATAATAAAGAGTAAACGACTACTGCGATTTATTTTCTTTTGAATTTTGTGTTCAGTAGTAAAAATCATGATTGTCCGGTAATTTTCATTCAATCCAAAAAATTAAAAAAATGCATTATGTTGGATTAATAAATGTACAGAGGGTAAGAATTATTGCTCTCACCGAACAAGGAATGCTCCAGAGAGACGTAGCAGAGATAGTAGGCGTTACCCAGGGTGTTGTATCGAAAACATATGCAAGATACTTGGAATTAGGAACACACAAGGATAGGCCCATACAAATTCGCCAAAGAGTCACAACTGAACAACAAGATACTAGAATAAATCCCAATGTTTCTCATCCAGAGCTACAAAGAGAACTTCTGGCAGCTACGAGTGTGAACATTTCAGTTGAAACCATAAGAAACAGTCTTCGTGCACGAGGGTTTTACAGTAAGAAAGAGTTACGGATCATACAGTTATCTCGGCAAAATAAAATTGACCGCCTAAATTGATGCCTTCAACATCAAAACTGGACAACTGAGAATTGGCAAAATGTTCTTTTTTCGGATGAGAGCAGAATTGACCTAAGATCAGATAACCATCGAATTCGGGTTCTTAGAGCTCCAGGAAGACGAGCGAGACTTCAGGCTGCCAAATCTGTACCAAGATATAAAGGAGGAACTGTAATTTTCTGGGGAGGTATTATACTAGGAGCAAAAACTCCATTGTTACCGTTTCAACAAATTTTAACGGGTCGGAGATATGTTGATTTGGTGCTAGAACCAATCGTTAGTCTGTGGAGAGCTGCAATTGGGGATAATTTTAATTTCATGCGCGATAGTGCACCTCCCCATACCAGCAGAGTGACTAGAGAACGTATTGAAACGGAAGGTGTCATTGTTTTGGACTGGCCTGCCTATTTACCAGATCTAAACCCTATCGAACACTTGTAGGACTAGCTCAAAAGAAGGGTTAGAGCTCGTCGAAACAATCCAGGAAATCTCGCACAGCTTATTGATGCAGCATTAGCATGATAAGAAAACATACCCCAAGACAACGTGGATAATTTAACAAGAAGCATGCCAGCGCGGATAGAAGCTTGCATAAGGGCTAGAGGAGGCAACAAAGAATATTAAAATTACCAATTTTCTTTTTGTTTAAGCTTTTTGGCCATTAAATATTTAAATCTTAATTTCGTTTCAGAAACCAAAAAAATACCATTTTGTTTATTTTGGGAACTGATTATTTTTTTTTATTGCTCTATGGATTATTTTTCATTAAAGGTCATTGGTAAGGACTGAGTTTTATTCATAAACAGAAAATTCTCATACATCTCAAAAATTATGGGAAATAATAGGTGATTCCATATAAGTTTGGTTTACTTTTGGAAAGTAACAGGACATTTTACAACTGAAACAAATTTTAAAAATTATATAGTTAGTGTCCTCGTAATAATAAGTAGATTTAGTTATTTTAAAGAGATTTTTCATTACTTTTTTTGTTTTTAGTTTCTTATTAAGGGGGAAGATATTTATAATCATAGAAACATTAAGTGTTTTTAGTTGATTGGGCAAATTTGTTTACCAGTAAAAGTTACTGAGATGATGGTTTAAGTTTAGTTTATAATCCATGACATTTTACAATAAATAACTTTTTATTTATTAGATTTTTGTTTCAGTGGCAAAATGAGCAGCCTTTTTCCAGAAATAGGATCACCATACAGGTATAGATATTATTAATACTAGTCAATTTAAAAGTTCCAAGGTAATTATAATGTTACAAACTTTAAGCTCTAATCGAATATGTACCTTAAAAGCTCCTGCAGATTGCTTGTGAACGGTTCCTGAACCATATTTGGCAGATTTTTTGCCAAAAACATTGTAAGTTCCTGTTTTCTCTCCATTGCTGAAGAAGCTGTCATGAGCACTAAGTTCATCCTTGTGATATTTTTCCGCAAAACCCTATAATACATATTTAATTTATTTGCTATACACCGATAATTTTTAATTATAATTCGTTCCCATATATTTAGAAAAAAATCATATAAAAATATTTCGACCTTAATGCTTTCTTTTATAAAATAGAATACTTTCTTGCGACGTTCTTTTATGACTTTCTAAAAAAGATAATTTAACAAACCAAACACCTGGTTTTAATGCAAAAATCACGAATTAGGTAGCCATTTCTTTGGTCTTATCTATGTCCGTTGGTCATATCTTTGTGTATGTTTTCTTTATGCTCGTTATCTCTAAGTCGAGCATAAAAAACACATACAAAGAGGGGAAACAAGTAAGTCAGAATTCGCAGCACATGTGATACAAGCATCACAATATAAAGTGGTCGGTTTTAGGATTTTGATTAGTTGCCATTTTAGCAGTCAAATACATCAGACCAAAATGTGTAAAATTTCAAAATCAAAGATATCAATTAAAATAAGTGAAATCACTCTATAGTAGTTAAATTGTGAATTTTTGATAGCCACAATATTAAATACTATTAGAATCTAGGATTATACATCTTACCTTCTCGAATCTCTCCTTCTTCTTTTTCTCTGCTTCTAAGAACTTCGCTCCATGTTCACCGCCACCTTGCTCTTGATGCGATTTAGCGTGATGATCCGCTTCATGATGCTTGTGCTTCTTACCGCCACCTTCTACGTCTTGAACCTTGTGATTCTCCGAACTTTTGCTGCCATGGTTACTTGATTCTGAGTCGTGTTTCGAGCTTTTGCCTGAGCCTTTTGAGGCTTTGTGGTTTGAGTGTTTGATTACTACAAAAGAAATCAAAGTTTATTTTGGTGTTTTTTATTTTTAAGTAGTAGTATAGTGTTTTAAATCAAACTTTTATACTATTATGACAAAATGTTTTATATCTAAATTGAAGGGACAGGGGAAAAAGCAGGTAAGTCAATTTTTCTCCAAACTGAGAAAAGCACGATTTAATATTCAAAACGGAAATTGGGCAGGAGGCCTGGAAATAGTAATAGAGATTTGTTAGAACTAGGTAAGGTATTTTTATTAGTTAAAATACCATTGTAACATACAAAACGTACGAACGGTGATGTAATTATTACATTCAGGAATGTAATTATTACATTCCTGGTTCTTTCCTCTCTTTGACTTGTTTGTGTCTTTTACTTTATAGTATAACTTTGACGCTATATATCTTCTAATTAGGCTGTTTTTCCCCAGATTAGCGGTTTCTAAAGATGCTTACATTCACTCTGGACCGAATGCACCGAATATTTAAATACGAATAATTTTCTTATATACATACTGCCATTACTCGCTGACGAGTATTTGACACGCATTAGAAGATAGTTACGCAAGACGTTTCCTTTCATGAGCTTTTCTGTGACTAAAAAGCCCGATACGTGATGCTCGATAGTATAAAAGTATATATAATATAAATATAAAAATAATATATATAGTGTAAAAGTATATAATATATAAAAGCGTGACACGTGATAGTAACATACGCTCTCTTCCGCACTCCGGACATTCAAAAATCTCATTGAATGGTCAGGAGAAAAGCCTAAGAGGAGTTGCCTCTTTACTTTTTTGTTGTCGCGGTTTACTGAGTTTACAATTCTTTCCATTGCGTTCTATTGTCATCCTTGGAATATATATTGTCATTCTTGGAATTGTATCTTTTGTGTTGTCTACCCGGTTTCCTCTTACCGTGTACAAGCTCACCGGAAAGCAGAGATTTTTGTAGACGGTTTTCTTCCACTCTGCATACGTGACCAGTCCATCTTAAGCGGCATTATGTAATCATGACTTCAACGCTCTCGCAGTCAGCTTGTTCAAGGACCGATACGTTTGAGACATGGTGGAACCATTTGATTCTTAAGAGTTGTCTAAGGTGTCTCTGTTACAACTTGTATGCGTTCATGTGACGGCGGTACGGCACCCAGGTTATAACAAGTCAAGAGTATCACCATCATGGATCACCTGAGCGATCTCTTCCTAACAAACACAGGAGTTAGGCAGGGATGTATTTTAGCATTCAGCATATTATTCAAGTTATTCATGGCAGCGGTCTTCATTATAGTGGACTAAACTGTAGGAAAGAGGATTGGGTATAGATGCGGATATGTGGGCGGTCTGTTGAAAATAAAAAAGCTCATGGCAAAATAGGTACAAAATTCGTCACAAAACTTCAATAGGCTGATGACTGCGCTCTAGTTGCAAAAACATTACAGCAATTACAAGAAATAATAATGTTGAACACATATACCTGGGTATACGAGGCTTTGGGCCTTAATAATTTTTTAGCATAAATACCAATCACTAATCCTAAAATCCTCTAAAACAGTATTGCCAACTATTTCAGTCATTGTGGATCGCTCCATATAACAGAAGAAGAGCATATCATTATAAAACATTTTTTTAAAATGGACAAAAAGTTTGGGTTTGAGAGATTATTCAATATTGTTTAACTCATTTTCAGTAATTCTAAACAAACGATATAATAAAAAAGGCGTCAAAATTGCAATAATCTATGACATTTCCTATGTAATTTCACATATAAAACAATAGTGATCTTTATTTCCCAGCTAGATTTGATGCCGTTTTTTTTTTCGACCGTATTATAGTACATTATTTATACCTTTTCCTTGTTTTCCTTCATCCTTGGAAGCTGATTCACTGCTTTTTGTGGCTGACGATACTGCAATTATCGCCAGACATAGCACTAACAGCTGGAAATAGTAAAAAAAAATGTTAAAAACATGTGACGGGGTATTATGATATCTTATAATATATATAAAAGCACAGCCAAATCATTGGACAGCCAGTCGACTTTATAAGATAACTCGACATTTTTAAGATATTTTTAAAGATAAAAACTAAATTCCGTAGAATTTTTTACGTTGAATCCAGTGACTAACTGGTTTTTCGCTGAGAGCTGTCATTTTCGTAATATGAATCAAAATGTTTTTTTTTAAATGGGACACCTTGTATATTATTTTTATTATTTTATTTATCTTGTTATGATCTTCCTAAAAATATACTATACTGTATAAAGTACAGAGGGAGGGGGGAGGGGGGTTTAGTAAGAACAATCTTCGGATTGTTACGGGGTTTTTAACAGGACACTGTCTCCTCAATGAACACCTCAGTAGGCTGACACTCAGAAGAAACGGCGAATGCAGATTCTGTGGGGAAAATGGGGAAACACGAGTGTGCCGAAACGACAACCATTCGTGCCATGAACTTTGGTACGACTGATATTGAAGATGGAGAACTACACTCTCTAAAACCGTCCCAGATACTGGCTTTTGTCAAAGCCCTGGGACTGTATGATGAGTTATAACTCAAGAAAGGGGGGCACAACAGATCTATAATGTCGCAGTGATTAACCCCCTCCCACTCATTCTAAATACTAAATTCTAAAGGGATATTTAACAATTTGCTAAAGCCACTTAATATTTCCGGAAGAGCTGAAGATAGGTAACTATTTGTGTAAGAACATTTTACATGGTGTAGGCAAAATTACAGTTTTGTTGTAAAACTGAATGGTCCCCTCAACTCTCTAGACTAATTATTTTGCTTAACTGGTTTTCTGTCTTAATTCTGTTCAAGCAAAGCAGGCAGTTTTTTTTATTTACACACAAGGATTTACTTGATGACAGGTAAAACGTTATGTGTAGACGGCGCTTTATAATTTCGTAAAACCGAAATTGAACATTTCATATGGTAAAATCATATTTGGTTATTGATTAAGTTTATACATATAGACATACCTACATATTTTTATTGTAGTTCCTCTGAACGTCGTCGTCTGATTTCATTAATATTATTAGTATTGAAAGAATATAAGAGTTTTTCAATATCACTGTTTCGTTCTAGTAATTTTGTAGTTTTAATCGATTAATTCGCAAAATAGGTGTTTGCAAAAATTAACTGTTTCTATTCTTATCGCAATTGAAACCAGAAGTTACACGATTTTTAATAACTTTCATTTCAAAATTCGTTGGTCTCTGAGAATTAGAAAAATTACAACAAATTATTGTTACTTCATTAAACCCATAAAAAAGTCAGTGATTTAAAAATGAAACTAACGAAATAGAATTAAAAAAATGTATTAATACTCGTATAGTAATGTCTATATCTTTTTATGTAAAATAGCATGGTACACATGATTAGTTTATTGTTACTTGTGTGAACTGTGACGCATGGAGTATATTAAAATAAATAAATAATTATTATAATAATACTCTTAACATTCAGTCGGAGAATTGGTCTATAAGTCAAAAATTAAAACTTCAGAAAAATTGGTAAAAAGTACGTATAAGTGTATATACCTAACGGGTGCGTCTCGAAAGTGGCCCACCCTTATAACTTTTTTATTTTCTCAGATAAAAAAACGAGATATGGTATGTTAGTATATGACATAAATTACGATTAATTGACATATTCAATTGTTTTTGGTCACTACTTCCTGTTTCACCGGAAATGACAATAACTTTTGATTTTTAAGACATGAAAGAGAAAATGACACTCTGAGTAGAATGATATATCCTAAACCTACTTTTCACTTTTCGCTAAATTTCAATCTAGACTACCATGGCTGTGTTCAAAACACTAATTTTTAATCAAGGAGCCTTAGAAAAATAGATTTAATAGTCTAATGTTTTTCGTGTCTTGTCCTGGTCGTTTAAAAGATGCTCAAATCGTATTTTTAATCATATCTCAATTTTATCAAATGTAACAAGGGTGGCTAATGAGCCAAATATGCTAATGACATATTAGGAAAAAGTATTTTTTTTACGAATAATTTGATACCACACGCTATTTCGAGTCCAATTGTCGTTATGAACCGCACGTTACAATTTTAAATAAACCATATGCGAAAATGTCAAAAATTGACATATCATAATGTAATTCTATTCAGAGTGTCATTTTCTATCGAATAAAGTAGAAATATACCGAGGAAATTCCGGTGAAAGAGGAAGTGACCAAAAACAATTATTGAATAAGTCAATTAATCCTAATTTATGTCATATACTAATATACTAAATCTCGTTTTTTATCTAAATATAATAAAAAAGTTATAGGGGTGAGCCACTTTTGAGACGCACCCAGTATATACTAAAATGTTTTATTTTTAGAAGTTTAATTTTTATTTCGATTTTTTCCAAATTATTTCTGAAGTAACGTCAATATTTGGATTAAAATTAGTGTCTGGGAGTTTTTTGACATGAGGAACTTAATTTTGATGTCAATATTACTCCTACTTGTACAGGGCACCACCTACATATTTTTAACTGGTTTGAAGAGTAATAACTTTTCGTCCGCATTTGTATAAAACTACTGAGTAGAAAATATACATTTACGACGTTTTTTACGTAAAAAAAATCTCTTGGTAAAAATTGCTACGAGTAATGGTTCTCGAGATGGACTCGAAATTATTAATACCTGTCATCGTTGACATAAATTAAATTAATGTTGAGAAAATAGTTATTAGACTGAAATTATAATAATAATTTTATCATCATTTTTTTCGAAGAAAAATTTATGATTAATTTAAAAAATGAAAATTTACCAAATTTATTATTTCAGTTAAATAAATATCTACTCAACCTGGTTATTTTTTGTCAATATGATATTTATTGGCTATTTCCATTCTAAATATCTTGAGGACGGTTGCTCGTAGCGATTTTTACGTCTCGTGGATAATGTTTGCGTAAAAAGTCACGGAAATGTATATTTTTACTCTCTCTCTCTCTCTCTCTTTCTCTCTCAAAGAGAATCGAAAAAATCGAAATTAAAATTAAATTTCTACACCCTGTATCTCCGAAACTAAGCATTTTAGGACATACATTTATATACGAACTTTTTTACTTATGCTTATCTGCAGACTATTCTGCCAAAATTTCCGAGATACAGTTCGGACCACCCTGTATATAGGTATTAGAACATACGTTTTGCTAATAAAACAAACCAACCAAACCAAACCAAACCAAACTGATTTATTCCTGCAGAAGGACAGGGACACAGTTCTTCATCCAAGGACCTAATTCTTAAACTACAAAGGAACTGCTGATGCTCAGCAGGAAAAAGTGCGAATTACAGCAGGTTTCTTGACAGGATATATGACTGTCAAGTACCATCTGAACAAGCTCAACCTGAATCAAGGAAGTCTTGCGATAAAGATTCTGAAACAGAGGAGCACATAATATGTCACAGCAAGGTTCTGGATCACAAGAGTTATTTTCTATTTGGGAAAGCAAGGCTAGAACCGGAGGAAATATGGTACTATCCTATCAAGGACCTGCATAAGCAAATAGGACAAAGACCTGTTTAAGGCAATAGAGAAAGAGAGACATATCTTCTGTTATAGTTTTGGGACAACACCGGTAACAGGTCTAAGCAGAGATCAATTTAAAGAGGTCGAGAAAAAGGAGACAGACCCTCCAGCCTCCACCTCACGGGTACATCAGCCGGAAACAAACGCCTCGACTGTGAAGGGTACGGAGGGTTAAACCCCAACCGTGGAAGGGTTGACCCTCGTAGGAGGTAGACGTTCTCTCTTCGGAGGAAGAACTTCTGTTGTCAGAGGAGGATGGGATGCCCTGTCCCCCCTACAACAGAAAAATCCCATGCATGATGACTTATAGACTGTATGATGAGTTATAACTCAAGAAAGGGGGACAGAATAGATCTTGAAGGTCGCGGTGATTAACCCCCTCACACTCATTCTACATTCTACATCCCATGAGTGTAGTAAATACATAATTAAAAATAAACATTTTTAATTATGTTCGTGCTTATTAATTTTCAACACACATAATGGCATTTAACTCAGATATTTTATGTTTAAGTTTAACGTATTCATTGTTTACTTTAATGAACCAGCCAGCAAAGAACAAAGGTACATAACATACTAATCTTCTGTCTGTAATCTGCTAGTCAGTAAACTAAAATATTTATTTAAAATACTTAAATTTACTATCCGATCCTATCTCAGTGGTGTAGTACTAAAGAAAACTGGTTTTTATACGAATTCTTTTGTGCAGGTCATTCATATGTGTACGTGGGTACATATTTGGAATTTTTAAAAACATACTTTATTTACAAAATTCATTTGTGTTGAATATAAATTATGTGAAATATATGTACTCACTCGTATTCTGTATAATAAATGTGAAAATTATGTATTCTGTCCGAAAAAATATGTACCCACTTGTTACCTTTTCTATTTATATAATATTACATATATTTGTTGATGAAAATATGTTTCTATCCTTCTTAAATCTCGGTTTATATTATAGATTCTTTTATTTTAGAGACTGTTGACTATATGCGATAAAATATTTTATCTTGACCTTTTTGGTTTTGACATTTGATAAATGCAATTACAGTGAAAGTTAAGAAAATGTGTATGATTAATTAATTAAATTAGATTGACGTAAATAATTAGATAGTAGTAGTGCAGGATTTCAACTCTAGAAAAGAAGCAATAGATACGCAAAAAAGATGGACCCTCTTTTTTGCGTATACTTTTCCTTTAAAGCTGTCAAAACTGACAATTTTTCTAAAAAATACAGTGGATATTCTGCCTTTTTAGACTAAAATAAAGAGCTTGAGGTGAGGAAAAAAACGATTTTTTTTAAAATAAGAGAGACAAATTTTCTAATCTCAAAAATATTTTTGCGCTATTTCGTAGCTTTTCGTGAAAGTTTTTATAGCTTAGGGT